AGAGCCATTAGTTCGCTTATAGTGAAGAAGAAATTGTAAATCAGTGGGATAGTGAAGGATTATTTGCATTTTTATGATGGTGTAACTTTATGTGGGGACATAATTTTTGAATGACAATACGTGGCCGAGATGCCACCGAAGTGCCAGTCGAGGTGCCACGTGTCTTGGTCATGATGCCGAGATCATCTCGGCTAGGCTGAGGTTATCTGAGAAGATACCGGAATCCGGGATAAGCGGATAAGGGACAAGAGTCCTAGAATGAGAGAGGACTTCAGTTTGGGTAAGGATAAGACTCTTCGAGAGTTTATCCCAATCCTACTGGGAATCCAAAATTAGCAATAATCCTAAGTCCATTGAAGCTAGGCTTCTATTGGGACTAGGTTTGTATTGGCTATAAAAGAGAGGCACCCCCATGGGTCTAAGGTATGCTTTTTATGCTCTGAATAGTGAGTTAAGCACTTTTCCTATCTTTGAGAGATAACTGACTTGATCGTCGAAGTGCCCTCGGGTGGACGAACCACCGCTGGAATCTCTTCTTTTTGTGACAGGTCATTCGGGCTTAATCTATTCTGTCAGTATTCTCCAGTTGAGTGCTTGATTGGCAGTGTGGTTAGAAATTGACACACACACTTTATTATGTGTATAATGTAAATCCTCTACATATATGGTGTAAATTCTCACTGTGTATCAAAGTTGCATCATAAAAATTTTTATTTATAATACAATAATTTCTCCACTATTCCGTGTATTTGTAATTTTCCCTTTCGAGTGTGATGGAAAGCAATCTTTTCATTTCCACCAAGATTTTGAAGCCAAAATGTATCTTGTGGCTTTGTTTGTATAGTGATTCAAAAATATTTATAGGATATTATATTAAGTGAACAATTTTGGTAGTGTCTTGAAGTTTTCTTTCTTTTATGTCAAGTGTTCCAAAATTATATATATAGAGAGAGAGAGAGAGAAAAGAGTAGAGCTAGAACTTAGGATCATGAGTGTAATAAAGAAAACTCTTACTATTTAAGTAGCATACAATATATAATAAATAGGAAAAATTATACTATATTTTACCTCTTGTGTCATTTTGGACCTTATACTTTTAATTAGCTCAATTTTGACCCCTAATTTTTTATTTTGTGTCAATTTGATCCAATTGATAATATTTTTAATATTTTTTAAGGAAATTATCACTAAATTGGTTGAAATTAATTCACTGAGTTGAGTAAATTTATAATTTTATCCTTAAAAATATGACATATGACACGTATGTATGTGTTTTTCATAAAAAAAAATGTTAAGAACTATAATCAATTGGATTAAATTGAAACAAAATCATAAACTCATGATCAAAATCGGGTTAATAAATTATAGGGACTAAAATGACACAATAACCAAAGTACAGGGACTATCATCGCAATTTATCCTAGTAAATATTTTGTTTTGTTTTTATTTATTTGAATTACACATACATTACGTATACCAATCACTAATATAGATAGCAATTTGTCAATAGAAAAATTAATGTGGACACAGTTTATTTCAATGTTTCTCACTAGTATTGTTAAAGTTTTTCTTTTAATAGTAACCAAAGCCAACTTTATTTTCATAAAAAAAAACAATAACGATCATCTTTAAAAACTGGAGTATATTGTGGGAGCAAAAATTAGTGCAAAAGTTATATAGGACTCATCATGGACATATGGAGATAGTAAAAAATCACTTTTTGACATTTAACATATTTTAAGTTATATCATTTTTTTATTTTTTTTATATATTTTTTTGAAAAAATCAAAAAAAATTAAAAAATTAATTTTTAATCAACTTTTTAAAACAACTCTAAGTCATTCAAGACGGCTATTATGGTGAAGAGAATAACAATGCATCTTAACAAGGTATCCCACTAAAATACCTTGATAAGGCTCATGACCGCCAAATAAAGAGTGACTACCCCACAACTAATGCTACAATTTTAGTCGGTTATTCTAGTGGAGACATTTACACTTTATAAAAATTAATACTTGAATACAATGAGTTACATAACAATACACTTAGGTCATATTTGATTCACAAGATTAATAGTGAAGTGTTAATAATCCTATTAAATTAGTGTGGTATTCACTATCCAATTAGATTAATATCCATTGGATTAATAATCTCACCCCTACCCCATTACTAATAATCTTACAAATCTGTTGGATTAATTATCCATTGGTTTAATAATTCTAAACCAAAATATTAAAACAAATATAGGATAATTGGACCCAGAGATTAATAATCTCAATCTCATACTCTAATCCACCCAATCAAACATGCCCTTAAATATTCATTAAAGTAGTGCTTAGGCATTGGAATGCCCGCTCGACATAGGCCTCCGAGGCACTAACGGTATTCTATATTTGCAAATACACGACATATCGTTCATCTCTTCGTTGGTCTAATTTTTTTTCACACACACACACACATATATATATATATATATAGTAATTAAAGATTTCAATACGAAACACAGGTAATTATTGGAATAGATATAAATTCTTAATAATATAATGGTACATAGGCAATTTGCTATAAATGAAAAATTTTAAAAAAGGTACAAAGGTTAATGAAGAAGATAAGCATTAAGGCCTTGTTTAGCAAGGTGAAAAAAGTCACTTTTTTTTAACATTTTTTATCTTTATTGAATTCTTTTTAATTTTTTTTTATTATTATTATTATTACTTTTCAAGTTTTTTTAGTTTAGATGGATCTGATGTAAACAAAATTTTATAAAAAGTAAAAAAGGTTACTAAAAAAAATAAAACTCCACCCAAAGATTCCCAATAACAAGAAAACAATTTTCTAGCATTTGCCAAATGCATAAAAAAGAAAAATAATAACTACTTTATTTAAATTATGAAAAAAAAAGCCTATTAACAAGTATTAGTATAAATTTCACTCATAACATGAAGAAATAAAAATATTCTCAAAAACCTTTGATAATCCTTCATTTCTAGCATCCAAATTGGCAGTGAATTTTTTTTTTTTTTTTTTTTAACAGTGGATTTTATTTTTAGTGTTTTGCTCGATTATTCATAATGGACTAAGAATAAACAAATAATGTCCCGCTCCCTATGAACTTTCTCGGGTTAAATTGAAAGCCTAGTCCAAGGCCCATAAAAACTATAACTAGGTTGGGTAAAAAGTTTGGTTAAGTTTTTAAACCCCAAAAAAAATACTTTTAAATTTTTTAAAATTATTGATGAGAGGTTTTCATTTTTTTTTTCCCAAATTGGTTTTTATCTTTTTTAGGGGGGAAAAAAGCATAAAACGTGAAACAAATTTTGAAAATCAATCAAAGTGCTAGATACACCAACAATGTATTCTGAGAAAAATGGATCAAAGAAAAGAAATGAAATTAAAAAAAGAACAATGGGTCTCATTACTTGGCCTAAAACCCATTTAGTATATTTTTGGTACCTTTTGTTAATGTCCCAAACATTATTGGGGCAAAAGTGACATGAAGTTTTGAATATTTTGTGACAACCTTTCCTTTTCTTTTATGGTTAATTTGTTAAGGAAAAACAGAGAAAATAACAAAGGATTTGGTTTCTCTTTAGTCTTGTTTGTAGGTGTCCCTACTATAAATTTTAAATCTGAGGAGTTTGGGGCCACCTTAAGAATGAAAATTTATCTATATTTTTTCACATGAAGTAAGGTGATAGTCGGCGCAGTCAATTATAAGATAAAAACTGATAATACAAAAATAAAAGTCAAAAGGACACCTCACCTAACTTCCATAAATTAGTTTTTTCAGCTTAATTAAGCTGACTTTGTTGAGTAAAAATTATACCAAACAGTATGGCGCAAGACTCCAAAAAATATATATCTATATATAAACAACTCAAATAAACTACAACAAACAATCCCTAAATCTAGCTATTAACATCATGCAAAATAAAACAAAACCCAATAAATAACAATGCACATCAATTTGAATCCAGTCCAGAGAGTGAGAGAGCAGTCTTTCTCTTCTCTAAGAATGGCCTTTGAAGAAATGTGATGTTACAGAAATTAATAGCATAACCATGGTTTTTAGAAATGCATATCTTCCATTTTGAATTGAAAGAAGTACATAGATAAACTTGTAATTGGTCATTTCCAGTCAAAAACTCAATCTTAAAGGTAAACTTAATTGTTTGAGGCATATGAGTCATGTGCAATTCCATGAAGAAACAAAGTGATTCTCTCAGCAATGAACAATCAGTAATGCTTTAATTCGAGAATCAAGTAGCAAAAGGATGTCTTAAAAAACCTCTGCGACCTAGGCTATAAACTAATTTTTAAAATTCACCAAGCTTACAAGTTGCAAATTGTATAGGTTAAAATGAAGGACAAGAACAATCTTTTCCACAAATAGATGAATGTGAAGAGTGTTTTACCAGACTCATTTGATTCTAAAATATATTTCCCAAACTCAAACATTTTTTTAACTTATTTCACAAATTCTTGTTGTATTTTTGACATGACTTTAAACTAAAAGTCATATTTTGAAAATACAATTTCAATTAGTATATTGCAAAACTCTTCAAAATTACATTTTGAAACACTTCAAGAAACACCCTAAGTATGACAAATAAGTTCAAAACAAGGCAGGACTCATTTTTTTTTTTTAAATAAAAAAATTGGGTTGGGTAAATAACTCTCCTTTTATGTAGCCAATTTTTCATCATATACCAACCAGCTTACTCCAGATTTGTTCAACCAAAGGAAAACACAATATGAACGGATAATAATGTATCTAAGCCCAACTTCACCAAATTTACCATCCTAGGATAACATTCAATCAATAAGCTCCCTCTGTGCTTGCTGCTCATCTAAACCGTCATTCCTGAGCTTTTTACCCAACCCACATTATTTTAAATTATAGTCAAAAGAGTATCAGTTAATTCACACACGCGCATGCGCACACACACCCACACAAAAACAGGAATTGTAACATAGAGGAAGGAAACATGGAAGAAACATGATAAAATCAAACGAGTATATTTATAAATTGTTAAATAACATTCAAGAAAGCAAGCCACATAATGTGATCATAAAGATCTAGGAGGTTTCTCCAACAATGCAGAAAGAAAAACTTCATCCTTGGATTTTGGAGAAATAGCCCATTTGTGTTTCTTGTATCTGAATTGCAGAAACATGTACATGTAATCATCAAGATCCTTCCTGTTACAGAAGAAGCGATCAACCCATAGCAACCCTCCTGGCCTCAAAACCCGATCCCAATCAAACAAGATAAAATCCATCAATTGCAGGTCAATCCAACTGTCCATGAACCCAGTCGTATGGATCAAGTCCATTGTGTTATCAAAGAATGGCAGACGTTGATTCAAAGTCATATACAGAGGAATCAAACCTCTAAGTGCAATTGTCTCACTGAAAGGAGCCCCTATGTTTAGAGCAGTTGAGACGATCGTAACATTTTGTTCTCTCATCCGAGCAGCAAATGTCCCCGTTCCAATACCAAAATCAAGCCCTATCCTCATCTCCCCAGGCTTAATGGCCAAAACATCCTTGATCATGAAATCTATGGGTAGAGTAGCATTAGTCACCCATTTAACCGTTTCCTTCTCCATTTCAAAACATCCAATGCACTTGGAATAACCCCTCTTAGGGTTCTTACTCGACAAGCACGCAAAGTTCCTGCACTGATAATTGCTCCACCGAACATTTCTTCCTTCCGGAAGCTTCCATAGGGACTCGTTGATTGAGTAAGGCTTCTGGTAGAGTTTAGAGGCCCTTGTCAAGCACCGCCTTCGGGGCAACGGATCGCACCCATTAATCATAAGCTTCTGAGCAAGATTCCAATCATCTTTACAGTAAGATCCAAGGTCGTAATCCATGTACTCTTCCAATTCTTTCTTCATCAACACACACGCATGCCCTATTGTGTTGTATACCCTCTTCGTTCCATATATATTCATCTTCCCATTTCTATTCTCTTTGGGGGTTATATACTTCCGAATCTCCTCAATCACAAAATTATTAATCAAAGGTTCCTCCTTAATCGTCATGTTTCTAATCCCTTCAATTTTGGGCAGCCTAATCTGTCTAAGTGCAATGTGAGCACTATAAAGAGGTCGAATCACCTCCTCTTCTAGAAATTTCTTGTACTCTGCTCTTGAAATGCTAGCACTATCCATGACATTTTTGTTCTTTTCCATCTGTTGCACAGTCGATTCGAGCTTGTCTTGCAAGCTCTCCATCTTATCAAGTACTTCCCCAACCCGAGCAGACAACGCTCTTATATCAAAACCATCGTAAACGTCCTTGACGCCATAGAAATGGCGGCATATATCTTCATTGTGATAGAAAAAACCAGCAGAATAGAATCTAAAGAGACTCAAACAGCTAACAATTACAACAAGCCCTCCCAACACTAACTGAAGCAAACCCATTAACCTCCCCAATCTAAACTTTGGAATACTTGGTCTCCTCATAATTGATAACTAAAATTTACACAATTTTCAATTTTTCAAACCCACATAAGATTTCAACATAATCAAAGTAAAATTCATATGGGTTTTGTTAGATTATTGACAAAAAAAATCTCAACCACCACAATTGTACAACATTGAAGTTCATGATGAATACAACAAGTGTGAAGATTCACAAGAGGATTTGAAGCTTACCCAGATGGTAAATGCATTGATCTCGATCGGAAACTCCAAGATTGATTAGCCTCTGATTCAGCTCAAAACCAACTGCTTCAAATCTGATAACTTAAAAGCTGCAAATTGGGTATTCAAAACCCTTAAAACTATGATAAAACATTGCTTGAACTGCTCATAATACTACCTTTAGAGCTGGAAAATCGTGAAGTTGAAGCATAAAACCACTAATTTCGAGATCGCAAGTAGGATTAACAACTTGAAGAGGTTGAAAAAGGCGCGAATCTCGTGAAGAAACACTAAACCAGCTCGAAAATCTAACCCTGGAGTATTATATATAAGTGTGTATATATATATGTATGAATGTGAATATGAAAATGAATATGTGAAGCGTTGAAAGTGAGGAGAGTGGTGGAGATGGTGGGTTGGGTTTCCCATGACGCAGCAGATCAGCTCGGATTGCGGCTAGTTGGCCTCGAGCGTTAAGGACGCATTTTGAACTTTCATTGACCGGTTCTTCTCCTTTTGTTTGGAGAGTTAAAGGAGGATTGAGATTGACAGTGTGATGGAATTTATTAATATTGTATTTATTTTAAGTGATGGGGAGAAAATTAATAGTATGGTCTTGTTTGAGAACAGGTTAATTTAGTAATTTTTTAGTTATTTGACTAAAATATAAGTTAAAAAAACTAGTATGTTTGGGATGATTTTTTGACTTTTTACGAAAAGATGTGTAAAAAGTAGAGAGAAAAGAGAATCTTTGATTTTTTGGTATGGTTTGTTGGTTTTTTGACTAATTTAGTAACTTTTTGACTTTTTGACTAAAAAGTTCGGTTGCCAAACGAGACCTAAGTTTCGGATTAGGATGAGTCTTTTCAAAGGGATTCGAATGGGCTTCCAAGATTTGGTATTAGAAAAATAATCCGGTGGACTAGAAAATTTTTTTTATTATTTATTTTTTATTTTATTTTTTACATATCGGTATTTTTTTAAATATTAATGTTTAATTTTTTATATTTTTTGTTAAGTAAAAATCATTATTTTATTTATTTTATTTTGTTCTAGAAATTTTTTATTTTATTTTTATTTTTTTAAAATTTTTTACATTTTAAAACATTAATGTTTAATATTTTTTTATTTTTTATTTGTTTTATTATTTTATACTTATTTTATATAAAAAATAATTTAGCAATCTCTACACTAACAACTATCATTAAAACAAATATAATTTTACTTAATTCTCTTACTATCAATCCCCTCACTAATAATCCCCTCACTATCAATCACTCCATTCTACCTCTGAAAACAAACGAGGCCTATGTTTGGAACCTAAGAGAGAGGAAAGAAAAGGAAGGAAAGAAAGGAAAGGAAAGGATTAAAGACAAAATAAAAGAAAAGAAAGGATTAAAGACAAAATAAAATAAAAAAAAAAAGAAAGGATTGTTATTTCTTTTATTTTTGTTTGGATAAATAATAAATAAAAGAAAAGAAATAATTGTAATTTCTCTCATTCTTATTTGAATAAGTAATAAATAAAAGAAAAAAATATATTTTATATTAGATTATCGAAATAATATTTTTAAAATTTCAATCATTTTATTTCTTTTATTTTTACAATGACAAAATTAGTATTATGAAAATATAAGAATCTGTTGGTTTATTTTCTCTCCTAATCTCTCCACTTTTGAGAAGATTGAAAATGTGGGTTATAAGAGAAATGAGTTTATCTTCGTTTCTCTCCATTTCTCTCCACTTAAGTTATACAAACAAGTAAGAGAAATACATATATCTCCATTTCTTTCCTTTTCTCTCCAAATCACTCAATCCAAACATAACGTTAGTGTTGATGGATTTTGAATTTGACCCACGAATTAAATTTTTTATTATGGATCTTATTTTGATTCATATAGTTTTATTTTTTGTAATATTTTTAATATATATTATTTATTAAAAAATTAATTTTATCTAATAATTGTAATTTTTTTATTTTATCAAATTTATTTATATTAGTTTTAGTTATGTCAAATAAAATTTCACTATATTTTATAAAAGTTATGTTAGGGATACTAAATTTTCTATCAAATAAATGGCTAAATGTTTCATATGGGTGTGGAGTCCTTAATTTTGTAGACCCCACACTCATATGAGACATTTAATCATTCATTTGGTAAAAAATTTAGAATCTATAACATTTTCCTTTTCTAAAACAAATTGTTAATGAACTTATTTGAAAAGTTAATTTTTTAACTTTTTGATTATTTTAAATTAATTAAATTCTCGTTTAGCTATGATTTTTTTAGTTGATTTTTTTGAGTTGAGATTTTTTTAGTTTGGAACTAAAATGTTCGTCTGGATTGAAATGATTATGATTTAGATGTGACATTTTATCTTATTAGCTTAATTAGTCTATTGTATCTTTTGTGTTTTTTTAATCCCTACTTTCTTTGCCAAACGAAGCCTAAAAAAGTTATGTTTGGAAAAATAGTTGACTTTTTTTGCAGTTGATTTAATAGTTGTGAGAGAAAAAGTGAAATGATTATAATTTTTATATAATATTTTGTATTATTAACTATTTAAATTTATTTTATCTTTTTTAATTATTTTAGCCTAAAACCTTCTCCCCAAAATAGGGCTAGGATTTACGTATTTTCTTGTTGACATTTCATATATAGCGAGCTTTTTTTTTTTATAGTCATATGCAGTAACATTGTATATTAACAATCCCTCATTCACAATGGTCTTGCGATTCGTATTCATAATACCTTGACTATGATACCACTTGTACAGTGTCACCATCTCTTCTAAAATCAATTGGTAATAGGAAGTGCATCACTTACGTATTTTGTGACATAAATTTTAATATGGATTTAAAAAATAAAAGAGAAAACATGGCCGAAAATGTTAGTGAAATATAGTTATATTTCATTCATATTTCATTTATATTTTTCTGTTCCCTTTCTTTTTTCAAATTTATAATTCAAACACAATCTAGTTAAATCTCAAAAATTGAAACCCTCATTAGAATCCCCCATTAGAATATTCCTAGATGGTTACGAAGTATTAGAGCATCTCCAATAGGTTGTCATTGGAGCTACTATTGCCATAATTTGGCAACTAGAGACAAAAAAAAATGCTCCAATGATTAGTTATGGCATCTACCATAACTGCCAACTCATCAAGCAAAACCTCCATGCCTCCTTCCTGCCCGTCCGTCATTTTTGCCGAACCAAACACAAAAATTGGTGTGCTTGGGATGAATGGTCAGTCATCCAATCGGTCATCTGAATACACCAGTTTCTATATTGGTTCTGCTAAATTGGCAGCAGACCATTGGAGTACCATTGTTATAATTCTACCATTTTTTTACTATCCATTGTCAAATTATAACAATAGCAATGCTATTATAGCATTTGTCATTAGAAATACTCATACAATTTGCAAGAGTTCAAGGATATGTACTCATAGTAGTTGTATGGAAATTTAAATAACAAAAAAGCTAGGTTTAGAATTTGGGACCCAAAATATACTCAAAAATGAGTTTTAGTGGTAAAGATTGAATTAATAAAATGTTAGATTTACGCTTGAAATAAATCTGAATTATTAATATAAAATTCGGATGATTCTTGAGTTTTTAATATTTATATAAATTAACTATGTAATGCCAGAAACAAATGGGGAATCCAATTCCTGCCAAAACATCAAGTCCTTTCTAATCCAACCATTGCACAAAATTTTCATTGACATCAAAATGTCTCACGGAAAATGTTTGATACCCTTTTGGGATGATCCTCATATCTTTAAAGTGATCTTAGTCTTTTATGTATGTGTATGGTCTACTCATATATATATGGAGTTCACATCATGAGTGATCTAGATTTGTGGGAGTCGTGTAAGGATCTTGTGAATGTGAGGATCTCAATCATTACTCATGTTTAACAGATAGCCAACTAATGTAAATTATCCCACCAATGGAATAGTTGCATTGCATCAGTGTTCTGAAAATGTCATATTTTTTAGATTTTTTTGTGTTTAGTATTTTTTTCAAAAAAATTATGTTAAATTTTTTGACTTTTCAAGCGCGTCTTGTATAGATGAATCTCAAAAGTAAAAATAATCCAAAAAATTCAAAAAAAAAAAAAGTCAAAAAAACCAATTGATTTTGGCTTTTATTATTATTATTATTTAAATTCAGGACTTTTCTTCTCGATTTGTTTAAAAAATTTACTTTTTTGGTTTGTGTAACCAAATAGAATCCAAAAATGTATAGTTTTTTATTTTTTAAGTTCAAATAAAAAAAAAACACAAAAAAATACTAATCATAAACCCCCACTGATTTTCAAGATTGCACCAAAGTGACAGACAAGCAACGAAAATGGTCAAGCTCATCTCCAGACTACTCCGTCCATAATTCTCTGTACTTCATTCAAAAAACTGCCACGTCAAGTTTGTAAGAGGGGCTAATTTGAGCCCACTAAATTATTTAGGCCCAATAGCCTAAGATTAGTGGGCCCGAATTTATCGCAAGTCCAAGACTGGCGGGACCAGATTTATCACCATCAAACGGGCTAAATGGCTCTAAGCCTCGAAAGGGTTCGGATCCACGAACCTAGAGGTCCGAAACATTTGGCTTCGAACGGATTCAGACACAATCTAGAAGTCGCTCCGTTAATGAGTCCCAGAACACTTGCGGGCTCGGAGCTTTCCGGGATCTACGTACCAGAACTATGGGCGTAATGGAGTCCGAACAAAGGACCCGATCCTGAGGACGGTGAGTGGAGATAAATTCACTCTTCGGTTAAACTAGCCTATACCCGGGTCGAGGTGGCACGACCCCGGGGGGTCCATGAGACTCGGCAATATTTTGCGGCAGGACGTCCTCTGGGACTACCCCTGACCCTTTGGGATGATTGGGGATCATTGGTTAGGTGTGGCTAAGAAGAAGGGTTCGCCGAGGGAGTGATCTCCTCTTCGGGGTTTTCTCATCCTCGGAGAAGTCACCTCCTCGGAGAGGTCACCTCCTCGGACAAGGTGGTTAGAGAAAATATCTCCCATGTGCCTTGCACATGGGCTCCATCCTACATCATGAGGTGCCTATAAATAGCACCCACCCATAGCTTTACAAGGGATGGATTTTGGAGATTTCTAACTCTTGGGAAAGAACTAATTTCCCATCTCCATTATCAACCTTGAGAGTGAAAGTGGGAGATCAATGGGAGAGCCTTGCCATTATTCTATTCTCTAGCCATTTTGCCTTCTTCTTCACCCAATCTCTTATCTCATTTTCACATCGGCAAGCTTCCTTGGCGAGCTTTTCCTTGGTCTTCTGTATCCCTACTTTCCGGCCTTTGTGGAAGCCTTTTTCATAGGCCCTCCCCTTCGCGGATTCCATTACGAACATGCTCGCCGTATCGCGATCGGCAAGCACGGTACTGATAAGCCACTAGGTGACCTTTCTTCCACGATTGGGTTAGCCTGTATCAGAAGAGTATTTCCAAACCACTTCTCCACAATTGGTGCCGTCTGTGGGAGACCAAAAGGAA